CGCCTCTCGCAGGGACTCCTGTGGGCTGTCCAGATATGGCAGTGTCCGGCTCAGGTGCTCGGCTGCTTGGTTCCTGTCCTGTGCCAGCTGCAGAGAGCGGCAGGAGGGAAGGGTTGGCGCGGGCTCTGCCCCTCGGCCGGGCGCTGCTGCCTGCGGCCAGCCCCGGCCTCCCGTGCCCGCCCAGCCCTGAGGCCCGGCCAGCAGCCGCTGGCGCCGGGCTCTGGAGGGGGCAGAGAGCCGGGAGCTGCCCGAGGAGCCGCGCTGTCTCCCTGGCCCGCAGCCCCACTGGGCTGTGGCTCCATCGGCACCCGGCTCGGGGCCACAGGAGCCTGGAGACGAAGCCGTGCGGCCCAGGGAAGGGAGCGGCGTGTGGGGCACAGGCTGGCACCCCTGGGTGCAGCACTGGGCAGGGGCCACAGCTGCCAGCCCCACACACTGAGTGCTGGGGGCTGGGAGCTTCTCAAGACTGGGCTTCTCCAGGCTGTTCTTACCAGACGCTCAGCAAACTTTGACAGCTGCTCCTTCCTCACCAGCCGCTTCAAATTCCTCCTCTTGAGGAACTCGGCCACACGAAGCAGCGTTTCCCGAGAGGCCTGGAGAGCAGCAGAGATGCAGAGATGGCACTGCAGCCCAGGGCACAGGACTCTTGTCTGGGTGACAGGGCCCCGAGGAAGCCGCAGCCTGGGAGGTTCCAGGACAGGAGGAAGCCGATGCCCCTCCCAGGGATGCACCGGCATCACAGCAAACCTCACCTTCGCCACACGCCGGTTCTCATCATGGCAGTGGATGAAGAGTGGAATCAGGCTCTGGTCCAAAATCTTCTCCAGGGGCTTCTTTCCCTCGTCCACTACCAAGTCCATTGCCTTGAAGAAGAGGTCAAGGGAGAGCAACTGCACATGGCTGTGGTCCTGGAGGAAAAGAAGAGAAGAAGACCTTAATACCAATTCCTCTAGGCTCAGCTGGGCAAAGGCCCAGAAATCTGTAAGACACAAAGTTTCTGGGCAGCAGCCAATGCCCGTGGCTGGGGGCACAGAGCCTTACGTGATCAAAGAGCAGCAGGAGTGCCTGAGCCAGCTTTGGGGCAGTGGTGCTGCATATCATGATGTCTTTATTGTTGAGCATATTGATGAACACACGGAGGGCCATGCCAACTACATCTCCATCTGCATCAGCCAGCAGGTCCTGAAGGCTTTGAGAGAGGCTGCACATTCTTATGGCCTGTTTGGAACACAAGGCAGTGCTGGGAAGCCCTGAACGGCTGCAGCGCCAAGACCACCCTGGCACTGCAACCCCACCCTGCTGCTGCTGGGCCCAGAGGCCAAAGTCCTGTCCCAAAGCACTCAGGCAGGTGAGGCAGGAGAGCTGGGAGCAGCTGCCTCAGCTCCTGAAGCCCAGCCAGCCCAAGGGGCTGCTTTGCCCAGCACAGCTTCAGCTGCTGCCCCGTTCTCACCATCGAGGGATCCTTGCTGAGCACCACGAGGCCTCTGAGCGCCAGGCGACGCCTCTGCCTGCACTCGCTCTGCAGGTGCCTTGACGCGATCTCAAGGACACCGTCACCGTATTTAGTCAAATCTAAGCACTCGAGGACCTGAAAGGCACAGGGCAGTGAGAGGGGAGCCGGCCGGCAGGAGCCTGGAACTGCGCAGGGCTGGGCCCAGGCAGCAGCACAGGGCGCGGGCACCGTCCCAGGCAGCTGCGGCTATGCAAGGGGACAGGGCTGGCAGGCAGCTCAGCGAGGGAGTGCTGGCCATCGGGCTCACCTCCACAAGGAATGCCAGGAAGGACAGATCACAGCATGGCTCCTCTCTTCTGAGTGACTTGAGCAGGTGGATTGCAATGCGGGAACAGAAGGGGATCAAGCCACGGCGCATCTCCCTGTCAGGGGGAAAACGGCACCAAGACTCTGATATGGGGGGAGCACAGACCTCTCCCAGGAATGACTCACAGAGATCTGGCCTTTCCCCAGCATCCCTGGAGGGACCGTGGGTGCTTTGGGAAGTGGCTCCTTTTGGGCACCCTCCTCTCTCAGCCTTTTCCAGTCTGCTCAGCCATCCCTCAGTGACGAGGCCCTCTGGCCAGGACCACAGGGACTGTGTGAGACACCCCAGGCACAGGGCACAAGTTTCAGAGGCAGCTGGGAGAAGTGAGGCTCACCTGGCCAGCAGACCCACGGCATAGTGCTGGGTGTCAGCACAGAGGAGCGTGTCCCAGCCACGCTTGCGTCCCATTTCCATGACCACGTTGTCACACCGCAGTCGGCAGAGCAGAGATTTCATGACCTGCACTGCAAACCTGTGTGCAGAGCACAGCCCAGGTCACACTGGGTGCACTGGTATCAGCCACAAGGGCATGGGAAGGACAGGAGGACTGGCACCTGTTGGCGTTGCTGGGAAGGCGGTGTTGCTCCCGGCAAGCTTTCCAGAAGCTGTCAGCTTCCACTGGTGGCATCTGCTGTGTGGTGATGACAACATGGCATCTGCTGTGTGGTGATGACAACATGGAACAGCAGAGCCACAAACAGGCGGGCGGAATAAAGCATCATCGCCTCGTGGCACTGTGGCATCTGGACAATCATCCAGAGCACCAGAGTTGCCTGCAAAAGAATCACACCAAGACAGCGCTCAGTGCCGAGGTGTCCATGGGGCAAAGCCCGAGGGGAGACGCACGGGGAACAGCGGGCCCGGTGTCCCCTGAGCCTGCCCCTGGCCCAGGTTTCAGCCCAGCGCCTTCGGCAGGAAGAAGATGGAGAGCTCCTGGGGAAGCAAGCTCCAGGTGATCATCTCCAGAAACTCACACTCAAGGGCAAAACGTCCTTGTTGTCCCCATCAGAGGTGCAGGTGCTGCAAAGGGGCCAGTTCTCCATCACACAGAGAAGTGTTGGCAGCACTTTCTCAACTGTTGGTCCCGATGAGGCTATGGTTTGCCACATCATGGCAGCAGCTCTGTGGGATCAGAGCTCTGTGTCAGGGGTGTCTCAGTGACATTGCCATGCCCTGTGTAGCTGTGGGGTCTCAGGGGACAGAGCCTCCGTGCCCTGAAGGGCAGGGAGGGAGCACTGGCAGCAGCCTCAGGAAACAGAGGGGCCTGAGGCTCCTGGACCTCTCTGCCTGTTGGGCAGAGCCCATTGGACAGGCTGTGCAGGGCGATGGGCCCTAAAGGCCGGTGAGCCCTGAGCTCTCAAGGCACGTGGGCCCCATACCTGTCACACGATGGGGCACAGCGCAGGAGGGTCAGCACCACATCGACCGGGTGTTCTTCAGCCAGCCTTATTATGTCAATTTTCTGCCTGATATCCACAGTGACATGGGACACCAGACTCTGGTGAATGTTCCTCACAGTAGATGGCACCTGGAGGAGGCATGGGGAAGACATGGAGTGCTGTCCAAGGCAGCAACTTCCCCAGCTTCCCCAAGAAGTGCTTCCCTTCCCGTCATGTTCTGCTGGCCTCAAAGGCTGACGGGGCCCTGTGGATGTGGCTTGAAGGGCCACAGGATCCTGGGAGACCTCCAGTTCTGGCCCCTGGCTGGCTACCTGCTGGTCAGAAGCAGCAGCTCTCTTGTCAACGATGTCAGAAGACACACGAGGGTCCTTGAAATAATCCCATACGAGCTCTTGGCTAATAGTGGGAGTGAGTATCCTGTTGGCATCCGTGGTGCCCTGAGTCTCTCCAATGTCATCATTTGGAATGGCCGTGCCCTCAGTCCCTGCCATGTCAGCCTCTGCCCTGTCATCCTTCACTGCAGCATCAGAGTCTTGTGAGGGCTCAGCTGAATCTGGGCTGACATCAGGCTCTGCCTGGAGCTCGGTCAGCCCGGAGTCAGGCTCAGCTGTGCCCTCAGTTGCTGCTGTGTTGTTCTTTCTACGCCCAATGCGCAGGAACTTGCGGAACCTCTGTGCAGAATGAACAAAGGACAGGGAAGAGAGGCATGTTCCATGGAGTGCTGCAAGTGCAGAGCTGGGCTGAGCAGTGACAGCAGGCCCAGCCCAGGTGGGGATGGCTGCAGGTACCTTCAGCGTTCTGCGGAAGCGGCCACGGGCAGGCTCCTGCTCTTGTCTCTCATCCATGGCTGCATCTGTCAAAGAGCAGCCAGAGCTGAGGGGCTGCGGGAGAGGCCGGAGAACACAGCCCAGCCCTGCACTCCCCAGTCAGGGACAGCCCTGGGGTGGCTCAGGGGATGGAGCAGGGCCACTGGCAGGGGTCAGCCCCAGCCCCTCTTCTGTCTTGTCCTTGGGCATGTCCAGTGGAGGGGAGGGGAGGGGACAGGGACAGGGACGGGATGGGATGGGACGGGATGGGATGGGATGGCAGGGCCTGGCTGGCTGCAGCCATCAGCCCTGTGGCCCAGCTCTGCCACTCACCATCCTGCAGTGGTTGGAACTGCTCCGGCTCTTCAGGCTGCTGTGCTGGGGCAGCTCCAGGGGCTGTCTTTCTGTTCCCTCTGAACACTTGGAACAGGTTGAGGAATCTGCCCTCCATGACACAATCTGGCCTTGGGGGCACCTTAAAGAGAGATGCCTTGGGTAATCTCTGAGTCAACAAGTCGTGCAGTTGTGCCTTGAAGGCACCTGCGAGAGAGAAGCCTCAGGAAGCCTACAGGACAGCAGGTCCTGCAGTCGGGTCTCGAGGGCTCCTGCCACAATGACTGGAGACTCCTCGTAAATGACTGTGGTCACCAGGTCCCACAGTCTCACCTTGAGGACAGAGGCCAGAAGGATGGGAGATGCCTCAGAAAAGCTCCAGGTACCAAGTACCGGAGTCTGGCCTTGAAGGCACCTGCAAAAGAAAAGTCTTGGGAAGGCCACGGGCCACCAAGTCCCGCAGTCTTCCCCCACAGGCACCTGCAAAAGAAAAGCCTCGGGAAAGCCACGGGCCACCAAGGCCCGCAGTCTTGCCACGAGGTCACCTGTAGGATTCAAGTCTTGGAAAAGCTCCGGGTCAGACACAATCGAGTGCGCTGTGCGGGGGCTCCTCACAGCACCGCTCTGGCGCGTCCTGTCCCGTCGCGTGCACTGGGCACAGTGGCGTTGCCCTGTCACCGCCAGCCCCTATGTCACCACGTGTCACAAAGGGCCCTTGGACACCCTGTCCCTTTCCATTCCACGGTTACCATGCTGCACCGTGTCACAAAGGGCCCTTGCACGCACTGCCACCTGCCCTGGTTCCGCCCCCATCCCCCCCAAAGTGGCCCAGGTTTAAAGGAATCCCTTGCCCAAAGTGTCTAAGACAGCCTGACAGGATCTTTAGGAACGCCTCAAACCATCAGCAAACGCTGCCCTGCTCTGCAGGCTCAGGGCAGCAGAAGGAGCCCCCAGGGCTGCCAACACAGCCGCAGCAGGAAGGGCACAGGGCCTTGCACAGAATCTGCACAGGAGACTGGCAGCACTGAAATCAGCAATTGTGGCAGAGTCCCCACCGAGGCAGACCTGCCACCCCAGCCGAGCCCTGGCAGTGCTGGTGCCCTTCTCCTGCCCCAGAGACCTGTGCCCCTGGGGGGCTTCTGTGCCAGAGGGCAGCCAAAGCCCAGGTGCATTGGGGACTGGGCTCCTTCCTGCAGGGGTCTTGGCAGGAGCATCTGGAACAACTGCTGGCAACGCTTAGCCTTGGTCAGATTATTACATGTTGGAATTATTTTCCCATTGAAGTCATTTCCTGCAGCTCAAAAACATCTTTGTTGGGAAGGCACAGAAGGATCTGGCATTTAAGGACCCTCAATTCATGAGAGCTTTACTTCCCCGTTGCTCAACTCAAGAAGTTCCAAAAAGTTGCAGACTTCACCAATTAATTGGAATGACCGGAGAATGTGAAAGATTTGCAAGTTTGCTTCCCATCTCAAAGCAGCAAGTCCTTTGCCTTAACATCATCCATTGAGAGTCACTTTACAAAACATAACACTACACAGAGGCTAAAAAAAGGCCATTCTTTGGTTTGCAAAGCTTTGGTTTTCTATGGAGGGATGATAATATCTTAATTCTCTGAAGGATTAAAGCTCTCAAGGAATGAAAGTCCACTCAGTATTACAAAAGTAGTCCAGACAATTGAGTAGATTGCAAAAAGGCTAATCCTGCCCCTGGTACAGATATCTAGGTGGCCAATAAATTACAGCTCTCCCCTCTTCTTTTTTGCATGAGAACCAGGACCACTAACAGGAAAAGTCACAGCTATTCCTTATGTCCTCCATAACCAAAACTGTGCCAAACCACGGATGCTGCCATCAAACTGACTCAAATTCCGGCCTAGACCTCTCACTTCCAGACAACTCCTTCCCCAACACACCCACCAACACCAATGCCCCCAAAACATGCTCACAGAACTCCTCAACACCCCACCAGGACCCCCAGCTGTTCCCATCCCTCCACAGAGCTTTCCCACCCTCCAGCAGAGCCCCTGCTTCCCTGCACATGCCATGGGATCGCACTCAGCAGGATCTGCTCCAAGGCCTTCTGTGGTAGCAAGCTCAGGCTGCCGAGCCAATGGTTCCTGGATCATCCTTCCCACTGACCCTTCCTGTGCACGGCTCTTCCATTTACACCTTTGAGCTCAGCTTGGACTTCTCCCCTTAAGCAGGATTGCTGGGAAAGGATGGAGAGCAGCCTGGCAAGCTCTTTCTCCAGCTCCCTCTTTACTCTTGGGGCAGCTAGAACATTCCACAGGAAAGCAACTGGTGCCACAAGGAGTGGGTGACATCAGGGGAGATCACTCAGGACTGCTAAATCCTGAGGGAACAGCGCTGGGTTTGACCTTTGGGTACCTGCACAAACTTCAAGTCAGCTGCCTTAGTTTCCAGGACAGCTCTGTGTTGGCCAGCATCCTGACGTGGGTGCAGGACTGCTGCGAGGCACTGCTGG